GCTTTTTGATTAACTGCAAAATTCTCGTAACGCGCGACACAATAGCAAACGGTTCTATTGGCTGATTACGATCACGCCACAATCGTCTAGTTTGAATGAACATATTCTTTCTGTAACAGTGAGAAAGAAAATTTGCTTCTTTATTCGTTAACGATCAATGGAAACTAAGCAGAAACAAAGGTAAAAGAACCTTAAAGTTTACCAAAAGTTGAAATCCTTCTTGACCTGTTTGGATTTGCTAAAAAGATGTTTCCGTTTCGCTCGGCGAAATCCAGAAAACATGTTTTTAGCGAAGACGACTGTCATCCTTGTTTAAACTTATATTCATTTACGAACATTGGCTGGTCATTACGGCTTCTTGAGAAGACCTGGCAGCAGTTGTTTTTGTGAGTAATAAATTTATGTCTTCTTGTGTAATTTGTGTTGTTATTGCGCTAGAAATTTTCCTGCTTCAGTAGGATTGTCCGGAGATAACAAAGTGCATAACAAATTTAAAAACAACAATAAAAACGGAAATTTTGCCTTTAAATGTTGTTGATGACCAGTTGGTGTCTGTTCTGTTCCCAGTGAATGTCTTTCGGCCAAAATTTGCTGCAGCTGGTCTTCGACAAATTTGCAAAACGCGCAACTTGAGAGTTTTTTTTTAAATTCGGCTTTATTTTTGCTGCTTGTTGTATCGGGACCTAAAAGGTCAATGCCGATAGAAAAATTGGGCAGTTTTTCGCTGGTTTCTTCCATATTTTAAAGACAAGGAAAAGTGTACTGCAGCTTAAAAGACGACAACTTTGCAGCCAGGTTAAAAAAAATGCCCACGTCATCTTATTTACGCACGGGCGTGCGTAAATAAAGATTTTGTTCATAGCGGCTCAATAGGACTTATATAGGGCAAGCACGCGCACTATGTTATAAAACTTAATTTTTCGAAGAGAATTTACTACAGGAGTTTTGTAATTATTTTAGAGAACCAATTAAAGCTGGATAAATAAAAAAATCCCAGTATGTATAAATTAAACAAATTACAGCATGGAAAGCTCTTTGTACGGGATTTTCGCACTCGTTGGTTTTGTATCAGAAATCTCACTCGTTCGCTGCGCTCACTCGTTCGATTTCAGATACTTCACCAACTCGTGTGAAAATCCCGTATGCACGCGCTTTCCATGAAGTAATCTCTATTTTTCCAGTCTGAACTGTTTTAAAACTCGATTATTTCATTATTTTGTAACTAGTCACATTCTATTATTTCTCACTGTATTTGGATTTTTCTCCTTTTTTGTTAGTTATCTAAGTAGTTCCTCTAGTTTCTTTTTTTCTTACATAATGTACAGTTATACACCGTACTTAGGCATTCTCTTTTAATTGTATTATCTTTCAGTTTTGCCGGGAGGGCAGTTTTTATATCGGAATTCAGTTTTCCCCTATTGCTTTCCTTTACCTACTGTGCTTTTATATAATTTTTTTTTTGGATAATGATGATGATGATTGTTATTATTTGTTGAAATATATTTTTGCACAGTGGTAAAAAGTATCATTAAACCTAATTAAACTTAAACTTAAGAATCTTTGGACCCTAAGAGAATTCAAAATCTAAAGGAACGGACTTAAGATTAAGGTTCACAGGTGGTGTGAGACGCAAGTTCTTATTGGATGAAACATTTTGCTTTCACATCATGAGTCAGAATATAATTTTGTGTTCACGTACACCCTGTAAGCAAAGCCTTTGCTTCACTTGCTCGATTTTGTCATACTCGAGCAAGACTCATGCTGCATCAATCGAGTACGATCTATGCTTAGCATGTGCTGCTTGTTGCTTGGATACAGTTTGGACCTCAGGCTTAAGAGCTGTGCGCTTTGTACAGCCGGCTCATCGATCGGTTATGACCACTCCCGTTTATCAATCTGAAACAGATGCTCGCACTCTGAATACCAGTTTGACGAGAGAAAACAAGATTAACAAGTTTAGAAGTTCGAGGTTCGGTGACTTCAAAGGCTTGACGAAAATTCTCCCCCTCACTTAGTAAGAAGGCAAATGAGGATGTTTGTTCAATAGCCTTCGTAATCAACTCCTTTAACGGCCGTAGATTCCTAGAATTTACTGAACCGAACTAAAAGATTTACTGTACGATTTTCTTGTGATATAAAATATACTTTCCTTATGAGTAAAACACAAAGAAATGTCAGTCTTGTAATCTTTCCGTGCAATTTTATTTCAGTTCAGTCCAGCGTGCAGGTGTGACGGAAAAGATAGCAATCGCCTAAAATGTAAAATTACTTATTATGGAGAAAGGATCCGAGGTAGTTATCAAATTTATCGCCTTCTTTTTCGCCCCGGTGAAGGTCTTTTTTAAGGATATTTTTCCTTTAAATTCTGCAGAAATCGTGACAAAGAAATTTATTTTAACGCAATAATGGTTGGTTGGTCAGGAAGTCCAATCGCAAATGGGAAGACGAGTTGCTCGTAGCTGGAACGATATAAAAAAGTTGCATGCCGAATATAAATACATGATAAAACCATCCCAATTTAGCGATAGGAAATGAAAATGCAAAAGGAGACATTTAACTAAACAATATTGTTAATTGATTGATAAGACACAGTGAGAACAGTGGTTAAAGATCACATCGACATGACACTCCAGGCGTCTTGCGCCATGTATATTAAAAGGATTATTAAATAACAAGGTTTTATAAGGGACAGACCCTTAGAAAACTTATGGGGGAGGGGGGGGTGGGGCCAAGTACAAAAAAAAATATTCGCGCAAGGGAAAATTAAATGAAAAAAATTCGTGCACGCCAATTAATCCTAAAAAATATTCATGCTTTGGCCTAAAAAATATTCATACAAGGAATTTGATAACGAAAAAAAATTCCTGCGGCTCGAAAATTCCCCTCCCCCACATAACTTTTCTAATGGTCCGTCCCTAAATAACTATTAAATGTTACTAGACAAAATTTTTTGGTGAAGAGGGTGTTTTTTTGCACAGTTGATGACAACTGTCTTTAAAAACCTATCGACATTGGGTTTTTATAGACAGAGCGCCAATTAAAGGCTTCCACCAACATAATTTACTTTTGCACAACGGAAAAGGTTTAAAATAAATGTAAATTGACTTAGAACTAATAACGAGTAATAACGGGACTGTGAGAATCAAGCTCATGGTTTACAACGCTCCTGAGCCGTGACGAAATTTCTCTCTAACATTTGTTTTTCACATCGTGATCAGTATATTGTTTTTTCCTTGCTTTATTCAGTAAATAACTTCGCGTACTCTGTTTATTATGTAGCTGGAGCTTTTTTTTTTTGTTACCTATTTTCGTTTACATGAAATATTATATAAACTTTTTATTATTAAACACTAGAAGAGTTTGCCCCTTAGTGTCAGGAGAGAAGCTTGCGCAGCAAGCGTTTCCGTTTTGTTTCGGAGCAAAGCTGGGACCGAGGAAAGGATTTTCGCGCGGTCTTTGACTCTCGTTCCTCGTCGTTTGCTCCGGCCGAAACCGCACGAAAACGCTTGCTAGGCAGGCTATCAGGTGAGCATAGTCTGCGAGTACACCTTTGACTGAAAACTGAAAGAACTAAGCACGGAATGCATGATCCGCATACAGGTAACGTACAGAAGTATTTTCATTTTTCATGACCTCGAAAGCCATCTTTTCTTCTTCAGCTTTTCAAGCGTTAAGTTTAACGAGACGGACTAGGCAGATTACATGCTGCAGGCTCATATATGTCTTGTTTAATTGATTTGTAATTTTATTTCCTCGCCTCTGATTGGTTAACGACAACGGCTGAAAGTTACTCAGGCAAATTTAGTAACTGCTAAATACCTATAAATGTCGAATGATTTTCATGAAGTAGTGTCATTTCATTGATCAAGATTTGTCAGAGGTAGGAGACGAGAGGTAGTCAAAGCTTGTTTCAGTATAACTCTAAAATTCGCTTCCATCGAGATGTTAAGGAAAGCCGAATACAAAACCTTGTTCGGTCGTCTTAACCGTTGGTGAACCGTCGCAATTCGTAGCCGAGGTAATTAATTTGCACTTTTGTGGCAATTTTCGGTAATACCTGTCGCCATTTGTAAGAACTATCTGCCGCATTTTAGCATAAATTGAAGGTGCATTTTTTTAATCTGCTAAGGTCGCGGGTTATTTGTTAGAACTGACCGACCAGACTGGTTTAGTTGTAAAGAGAATTTCACTCCAATTAAGAACGAATATCCAGCCAGATCAGAGCTATTTATACACGTTAAGATCGGCAGTGTACATGTTGTAATTAAGAAAAATCTTGAAAAAAAAAAAAAAAAAAAGACTGTTACTTTATTTTCAAAGGGACTGATCTGGTCTATCAGTTCTGACTTTTGGAAACCGTACCTAGGACCAACTCTTACTCACGTGACTTGCAGGTCACATCGGGGCCCTTTCCATTCAGTCCAAAATTCCGGAAATTTCGGATAGAAATCAAATGGAACAGACCATTTCGGTTCGGTCCGACCGCAATATTTGGGACTAGCTTTGAAGGTGGTCCACTTTCACCAGTCCGCTTATTTCGGTCGGTCGAACCGAAGTGTGCCAGTTCAAAAAAGTTGTTGTCTCCAGCGCCACTTTTTTTCAAGAACAATAACCAAACGCGCGGTGGCTTGGGTCTTGTCGGTGTAACCGGAATGTAGAATTCCATTGGGCATGTGAAATTTCTAACATTTCAAACCGGAATTTATGTCGAATGAAAAGCGCTCATCCTTTGAATTACAGCGGTTAAGTTTGCGCCGTTGACACGCGACAATCCTCATTTTCCTACCAACTGTGTTGCGACAGCTCGGTTAATTACTTACTGCGAAAAACACTTGAGAAATTACCAAATTTATGACAAAGAAAAACAATGAAAAGGACTTTAGTCTAGTAACAGGCATCTTGAATAACTGAGAACCCCCCAATGTTTTGGCGAAGAGGATGTCTTTCTTTTTATTTGTAGTTAATAAGAACTCCCCTTAACTGCCATCACGTCACTGCGGATGGAGACCTGGTTTTGGATTCTTGGCTCGGTTCTTTTGTTTCTTGCCATCGCTGGAAATGGATTTACAATCTTTCTCGTCTGCAGCAGAGGAAATCTCCGCACCAAAACCAACGCGTTTATCGTTTCACTTGCAGTAGCGGATTCCGGTGTTAGTTTGGGCGTTATTCCTTCTCTGTTAGCTTGCGACGTTACAAACACCTGCTACTGGTCTCTGCAGGTTTTTCTTTCATGGAACGATGTCGTAAGGTGGCTGTTTAGCTACCTGTCTGTTTTAAACTTGTGTTCTCTGGTGCTCGACCGTTATATCGCCATCGTAAAGCCTTTTAAATACATAACTTTTATGACTATAGTGTGTTCAAGTGATAACTTCCTGTTGGATAGCGTCATTTACACTGGTTGCTTTCAAGACCGCACCTCGGCTTTGCTGTGAGACCCCTCTGACCAGTATCGTTGCAGTTGTGGTCTTAATTCCATGGAAATCTTTCCATGCGTACTGCAAGTACTCTGTTTTGCGTCAATGTTACTTCATGTATGGTCAGCAAGCACCCTAGCAAAACAGTTAACTTATCATCCACCCTCAAGCACCCTCCTCGCGTTGATCGGCGCTAGCGCTTTTGCTTTTAACAAATACCCCCATAAACCGTACATTTTCTGAAAGCTTAATAGTTCCAGATTATTGCTTATTTCTTTTAAAAAATCAAAATATTAACGCGATTTAGAAATAAGAAGCTTTTTGTGAATGTGGCTGTCACTGTAAATCTAAGTCCAGTCTAGCCAAAAATTAACGTAAGAAGCCAATTAAGAACGCATTCGCTTCTTAACACGTTTGACTAAAAAACCGTGTCTCAGATTTTTGTCAAGTGCGGTTTGTTCTGTTGTTTATAAGCAGGTGAAGTTAGGGATAGCAAATCATTAGCACTACCTGTGAAAAAAATACTCTAACTCGAAAACGAAAAAAGAAATCAAAATTCGCAGACACAGTTTTTGAGAAAAACTATCTGACAGTAAGTTGGCCAAATTTCACGGGTTGCTGACTTGGAGTTTAAAACGTACCCTCAACTTGCCCTGATTTTCGTTTGGAGAAAATAATGGAAAAAGATTTTTGGCGGCGTATTACCCGTGATGAGATTATAATAGATTATAACACCAAAGCTGTCAATGTTGATGCATACCAGAGAAGGGACAACAATAGTGACACAGCAGGAAAAGTAGCCTGCAGTGCAGGCGTTTTCTTTGAGCGCGCAATTTCCTTGCGAAAGCGCCACGTTCAAACTTCCCGAAGAGAGGAGGAGATGGGGCGAGTCAAAGGGAGCGGGGAGGGGGCAGGGAGAGCAGGGCAAAAAAAGCTAGGGCGTTGAAACGCTCATACGTGCTCTCTGGTTCAGCTGTGATGCGGAGTAGGACTCCAACTAGTCCGCTCTCCGCTCACGATCCGCTGTCAGGGCAAGAAAAATGGCGCCGTCTAACTGAAGGTAGGTTCGGATTTATTACTCTATAACTTTAGATCGCTGCAATCTATAATTAGATTTGATATTTGGCGTATTTCTATGCGATGTACAGAAAGTATATAGGTGATATGTTATAGTTAGTCTTATAAGTTAAAGTGTTTTTTCGCCTTTTATGTTTATGTAATGTCAAAATGGCCTATCGAATATTACAGGTTGAAGGTCGCGTTTTATCTTGCCAGTCAAAACCAAATGATAATAAACGGCTACAAAAAAAATTTGTAATGGTTTTAAAATTTTGTTTGTGCATGCAAATTCTTAGAGTGAACTTTTTTGAACCTTTAAGGTTTTTTTACTTCTGAAGTGACGACTTCATAATGGTGATAGCAAGGTTTTTGTTTTGTACGTTGGGGTTTAGCTTGTTAGTAAAATATAAGGTTTCACTCGCCCAATTTAGCGATAATTCTTTTTTAAATATACAATAAGATGGTAAATAATTTTTTTTAGTTGCAGAACCGCGCGCGATCCAAGAAGGTTCTGACTATTTTTAAAGTTCTACTAGAAAATTGCATTCGAATGATCTCGTACGTGTGACAGTCTTTACATAAAAAACAACAAATTCTGCTTAGCTGCTGTATAAATCTAAAGGTTGTACTGCACAGAAACAGAATGACGCCTATCGAGAAATTTGCTTTCAAATCCCCACAAAGATTCCGCTGTAAAATTAAATCATAGAATGTGTTTGTTATTATGAATTTTTGCAGGACAATAGTGAGTGCCCGGCCTGAAAAGACTACTATAGAACATACACTGAAAGATAAACGAGTTCATAATACCGTGAATATGAAGAAGAACATGAAGAGGTCTTAATTTGATTGCAAGTAGAATAAATTAAGACTGTGTATAACATTGTATTTTTGTCGTCCGAGGCTTAAGTGTGGTGTTGCACAAACTACAGTCAGCTCTCAGATGGAAACTATTTGGACTGCCACAAAATGTCTGCATTAATTGACAGGTGTAACTCTTATAGAGAGTAAAAGAAAATGACTGAAGAATAGTAGGGACCAACTCGATTTCCTGGAGGTGCCTTATCTTCTGATTGTACTACTGTATAATGTTTCTAGCATTATATCCTCTCTTTTAATATTATATATTGTAGACAAGGAAACAGGAAAGTATTTTTTGAGTCAATTTTGATATAAATTTAACCAAGAATGAAATTGAATCATACTGGACATGACTGGTATACAAGTGTGCTAGGGTTGCTGGTCACACTCAAAAATTTGTTTTTCAATGGTTTAATAGCTGTTACAGGCCATTTGTATTTCATTTGTGCATAATTCTGTATAATTTTCTTGTTTGCGATATATTTTTGAATTCGTATGTTATATAAATGTTTTATGTTGTATTTGTAAGATATATACATACATATGTATATAGCAATAACTGGTTTCAATGTCAGACTAGTGAATGTTTAGTTTCTTTTAAGTTCCTTAGTATGTCTTGCATGGGTAGTTTTCAGTGACCATTTCATTACAAAAAGCTATTACTATGAAACAAAAATATTTGCTGAGCTACTTATTTGTGTTCTTGCGTCCTCTTTCAGTTAGGGCAGTGAATTATATCTATATTTTTTCACATACTTATTCTTCATCGCACAGTAGTATTAGTGTACAAGATAAAATATAATGATGATTTTGTTATATCTTAAATTTACCCGGGCTTTAGTTTTCATAATCTGTATTGGAGATAGCTCAATAAGGTGTTAAGAGAAGAATACTGATGTACACCAACAAATCCAAACTTTAATAGTGAAAACAGATCATCTGGCCTTGGAACTGGGCTGCAAAAACTAAATAAATGCCATAGCAGATGATGAATTACACCACTTGATATTACACTGAAGTAGAGAACCGATAATATTAGTCTAATAATGATGTCAGTGCTATCATCTGAGTTGTGATGCCATTTTCTTACCAAGTCACGAAATTTTAATACAGGTCACGGAGACAGGTCACGGAGGTGGAACTATATGCAATATAGATATTTGTTCGAGGGGAAAAATTGAGCAAAACAAAAACGAGAAACAATAATTTGTTCCTTCGCTATTGCTTGCAGCAAATGATTGCCACGGGATAATGGCTAACTTTCGCTGGATAATCTCTCTGACGGTCCAGTATAATGTCCGCCATCTTGTTTTGTCTCTTCGGTAGTACCCAGACCCTTGAATCACAGCTAGATCACTCGACCCCGCTCGTTTCAACGCCCTACCTTCTTACGCCCAACACCGCGGCAAAACGCACTGCGCATGAGCACAAAATTTAACATCCGGTCAGCTTTTTATTTCCGGTCTAGTATATAAACCAATTGCGTAAGCATGACATTGCCGTCGCGCCAAGTTTAAAAGCAAAAAGGGCGAAACAGACAAAAAAGGGGGCCAGAAAAATCACTTCATCCGAAAACTTATTTATTTTTCTAGTGTCAAACTTTTGCACCACATGGTTATTTGTTTGCACCAAGGGTGAAAATGATGTTTGAAGTTTGCAGGTCGCGAGCGCTCGACAAGACGAATTTGTTTTCACTGGCTTTCTTGCATGCTACTGGTTTGGCATAAGTTAATTTGGGAGAAGGCGCTAACTAAGAAAAGAATGGCAATACTTATGAAAGAAACCAAAATAAAGACGTCATCATTATCATTAACACTAGAATCAGGAAATAACATTTTAGTCTGTTCAACAATTTTTTATTATCAGAGAAAACAAGTACTCAAAACAAAAGATGTGCGGGATTTAATAACAACCTCGACTATGATGACTGCAGTCACGAACACCCGGAGCTTTCAGTGCCGGGAAACTAAACATGCCTATAAATGAATTTCATTCAAGAAAATGCCTATTTAATTCTTTTACATGGTTGTTCTTTGGTCGGTGAAGACTTCAATAATTTCAGACTGTGCGGCTTGTCGGCATCTCACGCAAACACGAAACTTCCAGCTGCTATGAAATACATGGCATGAAAATTTCGACTTCTAAAAGCCATCGAACCAGCTTTCGCTCTCCGATTCTGAGAATGAAAAAAATAAATAGAGTTGTCAACTTGCTGCCAACTTCAGCAGTATAATTAAGCTTATGTTTCATGGCAATCAACTCAGAAGAGTTTCGTTTCAAAACACGAAAATAAAAAATAAATTAATAAAGCTCGAATCGGCTTTAAGGCATGAAGACTGAGAAACTGAAGAACTGAAAATTAGAACTGTAATACACAAGCTTGCAATGATAACTTTTTATGTCTCAGTTTCAGCCAGGTTAAGTGAAAAATAACAGTCAAAAACTTTGTTTTCGTAAATGAAAATCAGTTTACCTGACGGTCTAGCCAAAATTACACACTGAGTTATTATCAACTTACCTTTTCTGAATCTAATCGACTAATTGTTTCAGTGATCTGTGCCTGGTTATCCATAAAAGCAATTTCAATAACTACGAAATAGTCAAAAACACAAGCAGCATGAAGCAGAACAACTGAACCGCAAGCTGCATACAGAATGAAGCCGAAAGCGCGAGGGAGACTTTGATCTGACTGGAGAGTTGACTGAAAGAGAGACCGGAAATGCTCAACCCGGCGCATGCGTAGACGTTTTGCCGCGGTGTTCTTACGCCCTGGTCTCTATCACTATAACGCTCAACCTAGTCCCCAGGGCCTCTCGGTTTCAGTTGCTTTTTTCTACGGAAAGAAATATTTTGAATGAATAGCAGTAGGAGTAACCTTGAGCAAATCAAAAGAAAGGGAAAATAAATACATGCTGCTACTTATAGAGGGGCCTCGAGGGGATTAGCCTGTAGCAGTAAAACAGCCAAAACTTTCAGTCATTTTACGTAAAGATGGAAACTTTTAGCCGTTAGTTTTAAACACCATCAACCGCAAAATTTTTTCTAACCAAAATTTTTGTCATTTAGAAAAGGTCAACATTACTTATTACGGCCTCTTTACACGTCTTGTCTCGTGCCTGATGGACCCTGTTTAATTAACATTTAATTAAGTTTACAGCGTTTCCTGATTAAAATTCAACTAAAAGAATAATGATGTTACATCGTCGATTGCTTCTCAGGAGCCTTTTGATTAGTATAATTGTATAAATTATTATTATTATTTTTTTTATGCAAACAGGCAGTTGGCCTGTTCGTTGGTCAAGAGGGAAGAGAACCATCATAAAATCTTCTGATCAAAACGGAATCGCTTGCTACGCAGGCTTCTCACCTGACACTAATGGGCAAATTCTTTATAAAGAGTTTATAAAATATTTCATGCAAACAAAAATAGGTAAAAAAAAAAAGCTCCAGGATGCAAAGGTATTAATATGAATAAAGCACGGAAAAAAAATATGTAATACTGATCATGATGTGAAAAAGAAATGTTACGAAGAGAAATTTCGTCTCGGCTCCTGACCGTTGTAAACCTTGAGCTTGATTCTCACAGTCCCGTTGTTACGTGTTATTCGAAGTCAATTTACATTTATTTAACACCATTTTCGTGCAAAAGTCAATTATGTTGGTGGAAGCCTTTAATTGGCGCTCTGTCTTTAAAAAGACAATGTTGTTAAGTTTTTAAAGGCAGTTGTCATTAACGCTGCAAAAAAAACCACCCTCTTTACGCAAAAATTTTGTCTAGTAACCTATATTAGTTATTTATAAAGCCTTGTTATTTTATAATCCTTTCAATATACATGAGGCAAAATAGCCTGCGAAAATATCCGTTTCTCCTCGCTCTTCGCCGATGGGGACGTTTCGCGCGGAGGAACGTCTGCGACTCAGCGACAGAAATTCCATACTGATGACGTAAAATCTGTCGGGAATCCGGTCAGAAGCGCTGATTGGTCGACGGAGTAATTACATTGTTCTAGCTATTGTTTACGAATGACAGACAAGAGACAAAAGGCCACAAAGGTCAAATGTAAACGCGAAGAATCTCTAACAAAACAGTCAATATTTGTGGAATATAGTCTTCTCTAGAAGAAGCATTTGAGTTTTGCTGTAGCTTGTTGGCAGATGAACACAACACTTAACCAAAATCGACCAGAAGACACGTAAAATTGGACAAATTTGTATTTGGAACCACTTATTATGTAAACGCTGGATTGCGTCATCAGTATGGAATTTCTGCCGCTGAGTCGCAGACGTTCCTCCGCGCGAAACGTCCCCATCGGCGAAGAGCGAGGAGAAACGGACGTTTTCGCAGGCTAGAGGCAAGACGCCTGGAGTGTCATATCGATATGCTCTTTAACAACAGTTCTCACTGTGCCTTATCAACCAATTAACAATATTGTTTAGTTAAATGTCTTCTTTTGCTTTTTTATTTCGTGTCGCTAAATTTGGAAGGTTTTATCATGTAATCGGCATGCAACGTTCTTTTATATCGTTCCAACTACGTGCACCTCCGCTTCCCATTTGCGGGTTGAGCCTCTTGAGCAACCAACCATCTTTACATTTCTTTGTCACGATTTCTGCAGAATTTAAAGGAAAAATATCCTTAAAATAACCTTCACCGGGGCGAAAAGCGATAAATTTGATAGCTACCTTCCTTTCTCCATAATAAGTCGTTTTAAATTACATTTTGGGCGATTTTTATCATTGAAGTCACACCTGCATGCTGGACTGAACTGAAAAAAACTTGCACGGAAAGATTACAAGACTACTACATTTCCTTGTGTTTTACTTACAAGGAAATTATTTCATATCTCAAGAAAATCGTACAGTAAATCTTTTAGTTGAGTTCAGTAAATTCTAGGAATCTACCGCCATTAACAGAGTTAATTACGAAAGCTATTGAACAAACAACCTCATTTGTCATCTTAAGTGAGGAGGAAAATTGACGCCAAGCCTTTAAAGTCACCGAGCCTCGAACCTCAGAACTTGTCAATCTTGTTTTCTCTCGTCAAACTGGTATTCATAGTACGAACATCCGTTTCAGATTGATAAACCCATGGTCATAAACCGATGAGCCCGCTGTGCAAAGCGCACGACTATTAAGCCTGGGTTCCAAACTGTATCCAAACAACAAGCAGCACATGCTCACGCTACCTTTGTTACTCGATTGATGCAGAGTCTTGCTCGAGTATGCCAAAATCGAGCCAGTGAAGCAAAGCGGGCTTTGGTAGCAGGGTGTCAACACAAAATTATACTCTATGTCATGATGTGAAACTAAAAAGTTCCATCCAATAAGAACTTGCGTCTCACACCATCTGTGAATCTTATCGATCTTATTAAATGTATAAGTCCTTTCCCACATGATCTTATATATTCTCCCTATTCTCCAAAGGTTCTTGTTTTCTCTCCTAACGCGAGGCCATTATTGTTTCCAAATTTCAATTCGCTTTGAGTCCAAGCGTCACGTACAGATTTATCAGTCTTAGCTCAAGCCTTTCACACTCGTTCATATAAGATATCTCGCCTAGACTTTAATGGTATAATATTCTATCCAATTACTGATTGCCTTTTAAAAAGGTTACAGCGCATCCAGTTTGAAGCAGCCAGTTTTGTTTTTGGACGCTATGTGAACAATATTGACTCTATCCTTAATAGGCTGGTTGCCTATGAAAGAACGTAGAGAATGGCACGTTCTAAAGGCCGCGCACAAAGCTATATACTCCCATGATTGGCCCAGAAACCTTCAGCTTGAGCAAGTAAGACATGCTAGAAATTTACGGTCATCAAGTACCATAAATCTAGTTATTCCCTATGCCTCGGACACTTTTCAGTATAGCGAGGCAGCCCTCTTCAATTCTCTGCCATCCAATGTTAAATGCTGTGATAATTTTAAATCCTTCAGTAAGCAAACATTATGTATTTTAAGGGAGCGCTGCCGGAATAGGGCGCAATAATTTCTTGCATAGTTTTAAATAATGTATATATTGTATTAATTATTTTTACTTTTTATTACCTAGCTTTTTTTTACAAATTCATAATTCAGATTTATGTATTTTTTTCCCTTTTAAATTCCTTGTTTTAATCTTATATCAGGCGACGAGCCATACCATGGATGTAATAATATTAAACCGTTATTATTATTATTATTATTGTTATTAAGACCTACATCCTACAAGAATGAGTTAGGCACGCAAAGTCAGGTCGGCTTTAGTTAACTTTGTTAGTTTCTATAAAACACAGCGCCGACAAGTCTTTTAGACTCTTTCTTTATGTCCCTTTTGAAAAAAGCATAAGCCAGCGGGTTACTGGCCGAGTTTAAAACCAAGACAGGAATTTTGTACTTTTTATCATTACATTTTGATGAGGATAGTAATAGAAAACCACAACGCAGATACATCCCATAGCAAACAAGAGACACTCCTATCACAAGACCCATCATTATTACTGCAGACTTCTCACGGTGGGTTTTAAAAGACACCTTATGGTTAAAACGTAACTGTTTTGCTAAAGTGCGTGCAGACTGATCATGCCTGCATACATGAAATATCATTGATACAAAGCAGAGTATTAACACAACACATATAAGAAACTGGGGAATTATGACCAGCCAAGTAAAAGGACAGGCCTTGTTTTGAAATAAGACAATACAAAGGGCATGTCTTAGCGTAGTATAACCAACTGGCAGAGCCCAAGAGAAGAAAATAGCTTGGGACATTCGACGGCGAGTCATAAAAGTAATGTATTTTAGAGGATGGACGATGGCAAATAAACGCTCCAGTACTAAACCGCATAAGTTTGCAGCAGACGTGTTACTAAACAACAGCCCAATAAAAAGTTGAGGCCTCCTGTCGCAGGTGTTTGCAATGTCGCAGAAAAACAGAGAAGGAATAACGATCAAACCAACGAAGAAATCCGCCACGGCGAGTGAAGCAATAAACGCGTTGGTTTTAGTGCGGAGATTTCCTCTGCTACAGACGAGGAAGATTGTTATTCCATTTCCAAGGATGGTCAGGAATGAAAGAACCCAGCCAAGAATCCAAAACCAGGTCTCCATTCTTAACATGCACAGTTATAGGAAGTTGTTATCAACTGTAGAATATGACCAACATCTTGCATATATATCAGGGACACATGTCAACTGGTTACTATGGAGCGTTTTCCCATGACATCACGGCGGCCATATTGGTGTTCCAAAACAATGAAACGGCGGCCATATTGGCGTGCCAACCAATCCTGTGGGAGTTGACTACACTCTTTTCTTATGTAAACGCTCTCTTTTGTTCCAATCAATTTGCATAGGTGCTGGCCACGTGAGTGAAAACGCTGTATTTGTAATAATTTGCTAATTGATGTCGTAATAATTTGTCTTGCGCTGTGCTATAACAAAACTTTGCAGCAAGACGATAATATATTAAATACCTAACGTTTCTTTGTGCGTTTGATAATAAAATAAGTACAAAATGTTTTAATAAATTCTTGAAATCTAATACATTGTTAAAGACATAAAAGTGTTTTTTGTCTTATCGCTTAATTTCGAAGATTTTATCATGTAGCGTTTTTTAATGTACCGTTCCAGCAGTGGACATCTCGTCTACTTTTATAGAATCTACAGAAAAAATATACATACATATACATAGCTGTAATAAAAAATACATTTTTCCTACATTCTTGATAAATTAAAGCGTGCCAGTTATTTTATATTTCGGACTTTCTGACGATTTTACGTTGATTCTCTCCCAATCTTGACCAACAATAGAGAAGGATAACTGTTTGCGCATTAGATAATTTTACACAATTAAACAAATAAAAAAATGGCGGAAAATTTTTGGCAAGCTTTGCAAAGAAAATGAAATAGCCAGCGCTACTTTTTGCCAATGTTTGATGGAACACACTTCCCTTACTGAATCGTTCCTGTGTTTACCGCTAGAACAGACAAAATTTTAAGACATCGTTCGAGGTAAGCATAGGTAGTTCAGATACCGTAAAATTCCGAAAATAAGCCCCTCCAAATATAAGCCCCCCAAACTCATAACGCAAAAAACCCTCCGTTAAATCTCCCCTCCAAATATAAGCCCCCCCGGGGGCTTGTACTTGGAAATTGCCCTCAAATACAAAGTAAAACAAAGAAAAAACGGTAAATTTCCTTCTAACTATAAGGCTAGCCCAATCGATCTTGAAACGTACATTTCCCTCCGTACATAAGCCCCTCCAAAAATAAGCCCCTGAAAAATATAAGCCCCGGGGCTAATACCGCATAGGAAAAAGTTTTCTTGAAAATCTGCTCCGAAATGAGATTTACGACAATGAAATATTAGCAATTTTCAAAAATTTGCCGGGAATTCAAAATAACCGTTATAATCCTGTTATTAGCCTTAAAACATTTGTCAATACCTCCTACCCTTACTTGTCACTTTTAGTTTGGTCATTTTATGGCGGTGGCCACCCGTTACCGTTTTTGAGAATTTTCTGGAGAAGAAAAAAAAAATTTCAACAAAAAAATTACACCACATTTATTGACTCACTATAAGGTATCTCTGGACGAAATATGAGGATCGATAGGCATTTTTTTCCATCACGTGCCACCTTTCACTCGGTCACCGCAGAAAGTCGCTCTTAAACAAGCGTGAAATTAACGTTTTTGTTTTTGTGTAGGAAGAGAATTGTATTTTGTTTTGCCTTCCCTGCAAACTGATAGTTAATTATAACCTCAGTCCATCCCAGGTGTGAATGAAATGTTTGAAAAAAAACGTTAAAGGACGATATGTATGAACATATTTATGTATATATCATTTGATATCTATACAGGCAACACTGGAAATTTTTTTTCTGATTCCCTATGGCACGGCGAAAAGCCATCTTTATCTTCCCACACAAGTTTTAAAGCAGTTAGTTTGCCTTAAGTTTAACTGAGAACGGTGGAAGACTTTGTAAATAATTTGTGATAATCGTCTTAAATTGCATTAGCGGTTGTTATTTGTTTTTGTCAGTCTGAAAATTGCTCTTTTTTGTCTGTTTAAGGTGGTTGGACTTGTTTTTTTTTTTTTTTTAGGAATTCATTCGATTCATGAATCGCATCCTGAGTGATGTGAAATTCAAGTTAAAATCTTTGTTATTGAAGCTCATCGATAAAAGATTCTTAAATTAAAACCACAAAAAATTAAGAAGGCCAAGGGATGGATTAAATGGCAGCTGGAAATTGGTTAAAAATTTTAACTGACAGATGAGAAATAATAACAAGTATTGAATGACGCTGAATAGATAGATTTGTATAATTCTTTAGATCATACAAAGCCGAATTCCGTCAATAATTGCTTTTTTTATTCCTTCCAAAATATTCATATCTAAACTACCAGATGCTTAGCTCGAACGATACCATAAAGTTTTGTCTGTTCCGGGGGTACTGAATACATGGGCGATTTAAGGGATGTGTAGTCCATCAGATATTGTTCAAAAAGTAGTTATCTCATCTGTGGTGTTTTATAGTCTTGAGCAGTAATTAGTACTCCTGGCTATTTCATTTTCTTCGCAAAACGTGCCAGGAGTTTTCCGTCATTTTTTTAATTTCCCTAATGGTGTAAATTATCTGATATGCAAAAAATTGTTCTCTTCATCGGTCAAGAGATGAAGAGAATCAACATAACATCGTCAGAAAGTCAGAAGTATAAAATAACTAGCAGGATTTAATTTATCAAGGAGAAACGAAAAATGTGTTTTTTTTATTACAGCCATCAAAATTTGGCATAGTCTTATTCGCCCACTCAAACGAACGAAAACATTTTTCTGTAGGTTCTTTAAAAATTTGTTATAAAAGAACTCAGTGTGACAGGCAACCTAGCCCCTGCCGAAGGTGCTGTCAGATGGGATATGATGTGCCGCTTTATAGGGTATAGTTCTCAAGCAGTAAATTAAGAATAGGTTTGGGCATAGTATAGAAATCAGACAGCAATTCTTGGATAGGGAGGGGTTTGGGAAGTTTAGTTTGATAGGGTACCAAAATTCAGCTGAACCAGAAGTATAGGCTAGGTGGTCCAGTGTCCCACCGGCACATTGCCACCCGAAAATTTCGAAACATTCCCCCCCTCCCCGACCCTGGGGAAAGAACTTCCTTTAACTGTTAAGATTGAGACCTGCATGGTTTTGGATTCTTGGCTGGTTTCTTTCATTTCTAACCATCACTGGAAATAGATTTACAATCTTCCTCGTTTGCAGCAAACGAAATCTTGGCACCACTTGCCGTGGCGGATTTCAGTGTTAGTTTGAGCGTTATTCCTTCTCTGTTCTTCTGCGATATTACAAACACCTACGACTGGCCTCAACATAGCCCTCTCGTGGGTGAATTTTACAAGATGGTTGTTTTAGTAACACGTCTGTTGAAACTTATGCGGCTTCAGTATTGGATCGTTTTGTTGCCATCGTCCATCCTCTACAATACACTGCTTTCATGACTCGCCGTCGAATTACCCAAGTTGTTTCCTTCTCTTGGTTTCTAATCGTTAGTTATAATGTGCTAAAAGTTAGCCATTAAATGATTTATTTCTAAACAATAGATATTCCAGTAAACAAATGCACCAACTCGAGGCTCTGGAGGACAAAATACAGTGATTTGTATGAAATTATCCACCTGAGCCTCGTCCACATTTCTTTATGTTTTCTAACTGGAGCGTAATGCGGGAAAGGTCTATACCTTGTCCCTTATATTTGGCTGAGTATAATTTTCTTCGAGTTCCTTTCAGTGTTGTATTAATATTCTGCTTTGTATCAATGATATTTCATGTATGCAGGCATGATCAGTCAGCACGCACTTTAGCAAAACAGTTACGTTTTAACCATCAGGTGTCTTTTAAAACCTACCGTGAGAAGTCTGCAGTAGTAATGATGGGTATTGTACGGGTGATAGGAGTGTTTCTTGTTTGCTATGGGATGTATCTACGTTGTAGTTTCCACTACTATTCCAGACTACGATAACCTCATCGCCATGCAATGAAAAAAACTACAAAATTCCTGTCTTGGTTTTAAACTTGGCCATTAACCCGCTTTAAAAGACTTGTCGGTGCTGTGTTTTAAAGAACATAACAAAGTTCACTAAAGCCGACTTGACTTTACGTGCATCACTCATACTTGTAGGATGTAGGTCTTCGATATGAACGTGTGTGAAAGGCTTGAGCTAAGAGTGATAAATCTGTAACGCTTGGACTCAAAGCGAATTTTAGCCGTTAGTTATAAACACCATGAACCGCAAAACCTTTTTCTAACCGAAATTTTTGTCATTTAGAAAAGGTCAACAGTACTTATTACGACCTCTTTACACGTCTTGTCTCGTGCCTGATGGACCCTGTTTAATTAAAATTTAATTAAGTTTACAGCGTTTCCTGATTATAATTCAACTAAAAGAATAATGATGTTACATCGTCGATTGCTTATCAGGAACCTTTTGATTAGTATAATTGTATAAATTATTATTTTTTTTTTTATGCAAGCAGGCGGTTGGCCTGTTCATTGGTCAAGAGGGAAGAGAACCATCATAAAATCTTCTGAAAGTCTGTATGAATAACTATATAATTGTAGCTATAAATTATCTTCAAGGACAAAGGAAAATGCATTTTTTATTACAGCTATCAATATGTTTCATATTCCAATTCGCCCTACTCAAACGAACGTAAACAATAAAGATTCTGTAAAATTTGTGATAAAAAACTCAGTTTTGGTTGGCTGCTCTTGTAGCCCAACCCCAGAAGAGTGGACGAGATGTCCATTGCTGGAATTAAAGGTACATTTAAAATGCTTCTCAACAAGATTTTCAAAATTTAGCCGATAAGAAAAAGAACAGTTTTACCTTAACATGAATGTAGTAGAGTCCTAGAATTTACCAGGACATTTTGGACCTTTTCGTTGTTTCAAATGTCTTGATTATTATGAAACTACTTAGGTAGTTATATTATCTTAATTCTTGACGCAAATTAATTGTTACAGCTCAGTCCAATGCAAAGTATCATGACATTAATTAGCACCGTAATTAGTAAACGATTAGTACCACCGCGGGGGGGGGGGGGAGGGTACTCCCCATTATAGCCTACACGGTTAGGCTCCGCCCAAGAGGGGTATCTTTTCAGGTTTTGGGTGTATATATGAAAGATATGTAAGGATAGGGGCCTCTAGCTACTGTAAGTATATGAAAAAGTGGGGAAATCTGTCATTTTGGTCTGTAAAATTAAGTACCAAAAAAAAGAACTAGCAGATACCTCTCGCGGATGTGCAATAGACAGGAAAACTGCCTAGTTCAAAAAACGGTCCATTTACAGCAGTTAAAACTCGTTTAGGTTTCTATGTAAACTAAATATGTGAAAGGGATATCATTTGTCAATGGAAGGTATACGCCAAAAAGGATACCTTTTCTGATAAAAATGGTATATAAAAGGGTAGGGGTTGTACATCGTGTGGAGCCTCACCTTAAAAAACGTGTTAACTCGCTGAGTACCCCCAACTCCCTCGAGAAAGTGAAAAATAAATGTGACCCTGATATTTATACAAAGATGTGAGTTATCTGTCAGTTAATAAAAACTTCCTTTAACTGTTACTACGGATGGAGACTTGGTCTTTGGATTCTTTGCTGGTTTCTTTCATTTCTGACCATCGCTGGAAATGTATTCACAATCCTCCTCGTCTGCAGCAGACGAAATCTATATATATATGCACCAAAACCAACGCATTTATTGTTTCACTCGCCTTGGCGGATTTCTTTGTTGGTTTGAGCGTTATTCCTTCAGGGTTCTTCTGCGACATTACAAACACCTGCTACTTGCCTCAAGTTTGGTTCTCGCGGGTGAATTTTATAAAGACGCGCGACTTTAGCTGGTTAAAAAAATGTACCTTCAATTTATTCTAAATTGCGGCAGATAGTTGATACAAATTGCGACAGGTATTACCGAAAATCACGACAAAAGTGCAAATTAATTACCACACTACGAATTGTGACGGTTATTCCAAGTTACGACGACCGAACAGGGTTTTGTATTCGGCTTTCCTTAACATCTCGATGCAAATGAATTTTATAGTTATACTGAAACAAGCTTTGAGTACCTCTCACTTCCTTTCTCTGACAAATCTTGATCAATAAAATGACAGCCCTTCAAAATCTGAATCTAGAAGAAAATGGCTTTCGAGGTCATGAAAAATGAAAATACTTTGTCTGCTTTGTGTGATACCTGTATGCGGATAATGCATTCCGTGCTTAGTTCTTTCAGTTTTCAGCCAAAGGTGTAGTCGACGTCGCAGACTATGCTCACCTGATAGCCTGCGTAGTAAGCGTTTCCCAGGCGTGCGCGGGTTTCGGAGCAAAGAACGAGGAACGAGAGTCAAAACCCGCGCGAAAATCCCGTTCCTCGGTCTCTCTTTGCTCTGAAACAAAACGGAATCGCTTGCTACGCAGGCTTCTCACCTGACACTAATGGGCAAACTCTTTATAAAGAGTTTATAAAATTTATTTATTATATAGACACGAGTGTTTTACTGGAATAAATACCACTCGCAAAATTCATAAAAACTACATCCGGGACCCGAGTGGTTTATTTTCCATAATCTCACACGTGAGTTTATCGATGACGTAATTTCGGTAGGTTCATACATATCTTCGCGCCACCGTGTAATATCCTCTATATATGTAGTATTTCTTGCAAACAAAAATAGGTAAAAAAAAAGCTCTATGACGCAAAGGTATTAATATGAATAAAGCAAGGAGAAAAAAATATACTGATCACGATGTGAAAAAGAAATGTTACGAAGAGAAATTTCGTCTCGGCTCCGGACCGTTGTAAACCTTGAGCTTGATTCTCACAGTCCCGTTGTTACGTGTTATTCTAAGTCAATTTACATTTATTTAAGACATTTTTCGTACAAAAGTCAATTATGTTGGTGGAAGCCTTTAATTGGCGCTCTGTCTTTAAAAAGACAATGTCGTTAAGTTTTTAAAGGCAGTTGTCATTATCTGTGCAAAAAAACACCCTCTTTACGCAAAAATTTTGTCTAGTAACCTTTATTAGTTATTCATAAAGACTTGTTATTTTATAATCCTTTCAATATACATGACGCAAGACGCCTGAAGTGTCATGTCGATATGCTCTTTAACAACAGTTCTCACTGTGCCTTATCAACCAATTAACAATATTGTTTAGTTAAATGTCTTCTTTTGCTTTTTTATTTCGTGTAGCTAAATTTGGAAGGTTTTATCATGTAATCGGCATGCAACGTTCTTTTATATCGTTCCAGCTACGTGCTCCTCTGCTTCCCATTTGCGGGTTGAGCCTCTTGAGCAACCAACCATCTTTACATTTCTTTGTCACGATTTCTGCAGAATTTAAAGGAAAAATATCCTTAAAATAACCTTCACCGGGGCGAAAAGCGATAAATTTGATAGCTATCTTCCTCTTTCTCCATAATAAGTCGTGTTTAATTACATTTTAGGCGATTTTTATCATTTCAGTCACACCTGCATGCTGGACTGAACTGAAAAAAACTTGCACGGAAAGATTACAAGATTACTACATTTCTTTAATTTCTTTGTGTTTTACGTACAATGAAATTTTTCATATCTCAAGAAAATCGTACAGTAGATCTTTTAGTTCAGTTCAGTAAATTTTAGGAATCTACCGCCATTAACAGAGTTAATTACGAAAGCTATTGAACAAACAACCTCATTTGTCATCTTAAGTGCGGAGGAAAATTGACGCCAAGCCTTTAAAGTCACCGAACCTCAAACTTCTGGACTTGTCAATCTTGTTTTCTCTCGTCAAACTGGTATTCAGAGCGCGAGCATCCGTTTCAGATTGATAAACCGATGGTCATAACCGATGAGCCCGCTGTACCAAGCGCACGGCTATTAAACCTGGGTCCAAACTGTATCGAGGCAACAAGCAGCACATGCTCACGCTATCTTTGTTACTCGATTGATGCAGAGTCTTGCTCGAGTTTGCCAAAATCGAGCCAGTGAAGCAAAGCGGGCTTTGGTAGCAGGGTGTGAACACAAAATTATACTCTATGCCATGATGTGAAACTAAAAATCAAAGTTCCATCCAATAAGATCTTGCGTCTCACACCATCTATGACTGGAAATAGATTTACAATCTTCCTCGTTTGCAGCAAACGAAATCTTGGCACCAATTGCGTTGGCGGATTTCAGTGTTGGTTTAAGCGTTATTCCTTCTCTGTTCTTCTGCGATATTACAAACACCTGCGACTGGCCTCAACATAGCCTCTCGTGAGTGAATTTTACAAGATGGTTGTTTTAGTAACACGTCTATTGAAACTTATGCGTCTTCAGTATTGGATCGTTTTATCGCCATCGTCCATCCTCTAAAATACATTGCTTTCATGACTCGCCGTCGAATTACCCAAGTTCTTTCCTTCTCTTGTTTTCTAACAGTTAGTTATAATGTGCTAAAAGTTACCCTTTAAATGATTTATTTCTAAACAATAGATATTCCAGTAAACAAAGGCACCAACACGAGGCTCTGGAGTACAAAATACAGTGATTTGTATGAAATTATTCAGCCGAGCCTCGTCCACATTTCTTTATGTTTTCTAACTGGAGCGTAATGCGGGAAAGGTCTATACCTCGTCCCTTATATTTGGCTGAGTATAATTATCTTCGAGTTCCTTTCAGTGTTGTATTAATATTCTGCTTTCAGATCAATGACATTTCATGTACGCAAGCATGATCGGTCAGCATGCATCGTCTTATTTCAAAACAAGGCCTGTCCTTTTATTTGGCTGATCATAATTCCCCTGCTTCTTATATGTGTTGTGTTAATATTCTGCTTGGTATCAATGATATTTCATGTATGCAGGCATGATCAGTTAGCACCCACTTTAGCAAAACAGTTACGTTTTAACCATCAGGTGTCTTTTAAAACCCACCTTGAGAAGTCTGCAGTAATAATGATGGGTATTGTGATAGGAGTGTTTCTTGTTTGCTCTGGGATGCATCTACGTTGTAGTTTCTACTACTATTCCAGACTACGATGATCTCATCGCCATGCAATGAAAAAAACTACAAAATTCTTGTCTTGGTTTTAAACTCGGCCATTAACCCGCTTTAAAAGACTTGTCGGTGCTGTGTTTTAAAGAACATAACAAAGTTAACTAAAGCCGACTTGACTTTACGTGCATCACTCATACTTGTAGGATGTAGGTCTTCGATATGAACGTGTGTGAAAGGCTTGAGCTAAGAGTGATAAACCTGTAACGCTTGGACTCAAAGCGAATTTTAGCCCTTAGTTACAAACACCATCAACCGCAAAACTTTTTGTAACCAAAATTTTTGTCATTTAGAAAAGGTCAACATTACTTATTACGACCTCTTTACACGTCTTGTCTCGTGCCTGATAGACCCTGTTTAATTAACATTTAATTAAGTTTACAGCGTTTCCTGATTATAATTCAACTAAAAGAATAATGATGTTACATCGTCGATTGCTTATCAGGAGCCTTTTGATTAGTATAATTGTATATTTTTTTTTTTTTTTATGCAGACAGGCAGTTGCCCTGTTCATTGAGGGAAGAGAACCATCATAAAATCTTCTGAAAGTCTGAATAACTATATGATTGTAGCTATAAACTGAATTATCTTCAAGGAGAAAGGAAAATGCATTTTTTATTACAGCTATCAAAATGTTTCATATTCCAATTCGCCCCACTCAAACGAATGTAAACAATAAGGATTCTGAATTGTGATAAAAAACTTAGTGTTGGTTGGTTGCTCTTGTAGCCCAACCCCAGAAGAGTGGACGAGATGTTCATTGCTGGAATTAAAGGTACATTTAAAATGCTTCACAACAAAATTTTCAAAATTAAGCCGATAAGAAAAAGAAGAGTTTTACCTTAACAATATGAATGTAGTAGAGTCCTAGAATTTACCAAGACATTTTGTATCTTTTCGTTGTTTCAAATGTATTGATTATTATGAAACTATACTTAGGTAGTTATGTTGTCTTAATTCTTGACGGAAATTAATTGTTACAGCTCAGTCGAACGCAAAGTATAATGACATTAATTAGCACCGTAATTAGTAAACGATTAGCACCACCGCGGAGGGGGGGAGGGGGAAGGGTACTCCCTATTATAGCCTACACGGTTAGGCTCCGCCCAAGAGGGGTACCTTTTCAGGCTTTGGGTGTATGTATGAAAGGTATGAAAGGATAGGGGCTTCTAGCTACTGTAAGTATACGAAAAAGTGGGGAAATCTGTCATTTTGGTCTATAAAATTAAGTACCAAAAAAAGAACTAGCAGATACATTTTGTGGATGTGAAAGAGACAAGAAAACTTCCTAGTTCAAAAAACGGTCCATTTACAGTAGTTAAAACTCATTTAGTTTTCTATGTAAACTAAATATGTGAAAGGGATATCATTTGTCAATGGAAGGTATACGCCGAAAAGGGTACCTTTTCTGATGAAAATGTTATAAAAGGGTAGGGGTTAGACATCGTGGGGAGCCTCCCCGTAAAAACGTGTTAACTCTTTGTGTACCCCCAACTCCCTCGAGAAAGTGAAAGATAAATGTGACCCTGATAAATGTGAGTTATCTGTCAGTCGATAAAAACTAACTTTAACTGTTACTAGGGATGGAGACCTGGTCTTTGGATTCTTTGCTGGTTTCTTTCATTTCTGACCATCGCTGGAAATGGATTTACAATCTTCCTCGTCTGCAGCAGACGAGATCTACGCACCAAAACCAACGCGTTTATTGTTCCACTCGCCGTGGCGATTTCTTTGTTGGTTTGAGCGTTATTCCTTCAGGGTTCTTCTGCGACATTACAAACACCTGCTACTTGCCTCAAGTTTGGTTCTCGTGGGTGAATTTTATAAAGGAGGGCGACTTAAGCTGATTAAAAAAATGCACCTTCAATTTATTCTAAATTGCGGCAGATAGTTGATACAAATTGCGACAGGTATTACTGAAAATTACGACAAAAGTGCAAATTAATTACCACACTACGAATTGCGACGGTTATTCCAAGTTGCGACGACCGAACAGGGTTTGCATTCGGCTTTCCTTAACATCTCGATGCAAGTGAATTTTATAGTTATACTGAAACAAGCTTTGAGTACCTCTCACTTCCTTTCTCTGACAAATCTTGATCAATAAAATGACAGTCTTTCAAAACCATTCGATATTTATAGGTACTTCTGTCAGCAGCACAAAAGACTGTCTCTTATCAGGTACTGCGAGTTACTTATTTTGCCTGAGTAAGTTTCCGCCGTTGTCGTTAACCAATCAGATGCCAGAAAATAAAAATACATATCAATTAAACAAGACGTATATAAGCCTGCAGAATGTAATCTACCTGGTATGTTTCGTTAAACTTAACGCTTGAAAACTGAAGCTGAAGCTGAATCTAGAAGAAGATGGCTTTCGAGGTCATGAAAAATGAAAATACTTTGTTTGCTTTGTATGATTCCTGTATGCGGATAATGCATTCCGTGCTTAGTTGTTTCTGTTTTCAGCCAAAGGTGTAGTCGACGTCGCAGACTATGCTCACCTGATAGCCTGCGTAGTAAGTGTTTCTCCGGCGTGCGCGGGTTTCGGAGCAAAGAACGAGGAACGAGAGTCAAAACCCGCGCGAAAATCCCGTTCCTCGGTGTCTCTTTGCTCCGAAACAAAACGGAATCGCTTGCTACGCAGGCTTCTCACCTGACACTAATGGGCAAACTCTTTATAAAGAGATTATAAAATATTTCATGCAAACGAAAATAGGTAAAAAAAAAAAAAAAAGCTCCAGGATGCAAAGGTATTAATGAATAAAGCAAGGAAAAAAAATATACTGATCACGATGTGAAAAAGAAATGTTACGAAAAGAAATTTCGTCTCGGCTCCTGACCGTTGTAAACCTTGAGCTTGATTCTCACAGTCCCGTTGTTACGTGTTATTCGAAGTCAATTTACATTTATTTAAGACCTTTTTCGTGCAAAAGTCAATTATGTTGGTGGAAGCCTTTAATTGGCGCTCTGTCTTTAAAAAGACAATGTCGTTAAGTTTTTAAAGGCAGTTGTCATTATCTGTGCAAAAAAACACCCTCTTTACGCAAAAATTTTGTCTAGCAACCTTTATTAGTTATTTATAAAGCCTTTTTATTTTATAATCCTTTCAATATACATGAGGCAAGACGCCTGGAGTGTCATGTCAATATGCTCTTTTACAACAGTTCTCACTGTGCCTTATCAACCAATTAACAATATTGTTTAGTTAAATGTCTTCTTTTGCTTTTTTATTTCGTGTCGCTAAATTTGGAAGGTTTTATCATGTAATCGGCATGCAACGTTCTTTTATATCGTTCCAGCTACGTGCTCCTCTGCTTCCCATTTGCGGGTTGAGCCTCTTGAGCAACCAACCATCTTTACATTTCTTTGTCACGATTTCTGCAGAATTTAAAGGAAAAATATCCTTAAAATAACCTTCACCGGGGCGAAAAGCGATAAATTTGATAGCTACCTTCCTCTTTCTCCATAATAAGTCGTTTTTAATTACATTTTAGGCGATTTTTATCATTGAAGTCACACCTGCATGCTGGACTGAACTGAAAAAAACTTGCACGGAAAGATTACAAGACTACTACATTAATTCTTTGTGTTTTACTTACAATGAAATTATTCATATCTCAAGAAAATCTTAGAGTAAATCTTTTAGTTCAGTTCAGTAAATTTTAGGAATCTACCGCCATTAGCAGAGTTAATTACGAAAGCTATTGAACAAACAACCTCATTTGTCATCTTAAGTGCGGAGGAACATTGACGCCAAGCCTTTAAAGTCACCGAACCTCGAACTTCTGAACTTGTCAATCTTGTTTTCTCTCGTCAAACTGGTATTCAGAGCGCGAGCATCCGTTTCAGATTGATAAACCGATGGTCATAACCGATGAGCCCGCTGTACAAAGCGCACGGCTATTAAGCCTGGGTCCAAACTGTATCCAGGCAACAAGCAACACATGCTCACTCTATCTTTGTTACTCGATTGATTCAGAGTCTTGCTCGAGTTTGCCAAAATCGAGCAAGTGAAGCAAAGCGGGCTTTGGTAGCAGGGTGTGAACACAAAATTATACTCTATGCCATGATGTGAAACTAAAAATTAAAGTTCCATCCAATAAAGTCTTGCGTCTCACACCATCTGTGAATCTTGATCTTATTACATGTATAAGTCCTTTCCCACATGATCTTATATATTCTCCCTATTCTCCAAAGGTTCTTGTTTTCTCTCCTAACGCGCGGCCATTTTTTGCAAATTTCAATTCGCTTTGAGTCCAAGCGTCACGTACAGATCTATCAGTCTTAGCTCAAGCCTTTCACACTCTTTTATATAAGACCTACATCCTACAAGAATGAGTTACGCACGTAAAGTCTGGTCGGCTTTGGTTACCTTTGTTATTTTCTATAAAACACAGCGCCGGCAAGTCTTTTAAACTCTTTCTTTATGTCTCTTTTGAAAAAAGCATAAGCCAGCGGGTTAATGGCTGAGTTTAAAACCAAGATAGGAATTTTGTAGTTTTCATCTTTGCATGGCGATGAGCCCGAGGTTATCGTACTATTCTGAAATAGTAGTAGAAAACCACAACGTAAATACATCCCATAGCAAACAAGAAACACTCCTATCACAAGACCCATCATTATTACTGCAGACTTCTCACGATGGGTTTTAAAAGACACCTGATGGTTAAAACGCAACTGTCTTGCTAAAGTGCGTGCTGACTGATCATGCCTGCATACATGAAATATCATTGATACAAAGCAGAGTATTAACGCAACACATACAAGAAACAGGGGAATTATGATCAGCCAAATAAAAGGACAGGCCTTGTTTTGAAATAAGAAAATGCAAAGGGTATGTTTCAGTGTAGTATAACTAACTGGCAGAGTCCAAGAGAAGAAAATAGCTTGGGTAATTCGACGGCGAGTCATAAAAGTAATGTATTTTAGAGGATAGACGATGGCAATAAAACGATCCAGTACTAAGGCGCATAAGTTTCCAGCAGACGAGTAACCAAACAACAACCTTATAAAATTCACCCACGATAGAAAATGTTGAGGCCAGTCGCAGGTGTTTGTAATGTCGCAAAAGAACAGAGAAGGAATAACGCCCAAACCAACACAGAAATCCGCTACCGCAAGTGAAACAATGAACGCGTTGGTTTTAGTACGGAGATTTCGTCTGCTGGAAACGAGGAAGATTGTTATTCCATTTCCAAGGATGGTCAGGAATGAAAGAACCCAGCCAAGAATCCAAAACCAGGTCTCCATTCTTAACAGTGAAAGGAAGTTGTTATCAACTGTAGAATATAACCAGCATCTTGCATATATATCAAGGACACATGTCAACTGGTTACTATGGAGCGTTTTCCCATGACGTCACGGCGGCCATATTGGTGTTCCAAATCAATGAAACGGCGGCCATGTTGGCGTGCCAACCAATCCTGTGAGAGTTGACTGAACTCTTTTCTTATGTAAACGCTCTCTTTTGTTCCAATCAATTTGCATAGGTGCTGGCCACGTGAGTGAAAACGCTGTATTTGTAATAATTTGCTAATTGATGTCGTAATAATTTGTCTTGCGCTGTGCTATAACAAAACTTTGCAGCAAGACGATAATATATTAAACACCTAACGTTTCTTTGTGCGTTTGATAATAAAATAAGTACAAAATGTTTTAATAAATTCTTGAAATCTAATATATTGTTAAAGACATTAAAGTGTTTTTTGTCTTATCGCTTAATTTCGAAGATTTTATCATGTAGCGTTTTTTAATGTACCGTTCCAGCAGTGGACATCTCGTCTACTTTTATAGAATCTACAGAAAAAATATACATACATATACATAGCTGTAATAAAAAAATACATTTTTCCTACCTCCTTGATAAATTAAAGCGTGCTAGTTATTTTATATTTCGGACTTTCTGACGATTTTATGTTGATTCTCTCCACCTCTTGACCAACAATAGAGAAGGATAACTGTTTGCGCACTAGATAATTTTACACAATTAAACAAATAAAAAAATGGCGGAAAATTTTGGCAAGCTTTGCAAAGAAAAGGAAATAGCCAGCGCTACTTTTTGCCAATGTTTGATGGAATACACTTCCCTTACTGAATCGTTCCTGTGTTTGCCGCCAGAACAGACAAAAATTTATGACATCGTTCGAGGTAAGCATAGGTAGTTTAGATACCGTAAAATTCCGAAAATAAGCCCCTCCATGTATAAGTCCCTCCAAATATAAGCCCCCCAAACTCGTAACGCAAAAAACCCTCCGTTAAATCGCCACTCCAAATATAAGCCCCCCCGGGGTCTTGTACTTTGAAATTGCCCTCAAATACAAAGTAAAACAAAGAAAAAACGGTAAAATTTCCCTCTAACTATAAGGCTAGCCCAATCGACTTTGAAACGCACATTTCCCTCCGTAGATAAGCCCCACCAATAATAAGCCCCGGGGCTAATACCGCATAAGAAAGAAGAAGTTTTCTTGAAAACCTGCTCCGAAATGAGATTTACGACAATGAAATATTAGCAATTTTCAAAAATTTGCCGGGAATTCAAAATAACCGTTATAATCCTTATTGAGCCTTAAATCCTTTGTCAATGCCTCCTACGCACCCATATAAATTTAAAAATCCCTAAGTTCTTTCTGCGCTTTTGAGGAGCAAACTTCTTATACCCTTACTTGTCGCTTTCATTTTGGTCATTTTATGGCGGTGGCCACCCGTTACCGTTTTTGAGAATTTTCTGGAGAAGAAAAAAATATTTCCAAAAAAAAAAAATTACACCACATTTATTGACTCACTATAAGGTATCTAGGGACGAAATATGAGGATAGGCATTTTTTTCCATCACGTGCCACCTTTCACTCGGTCACAGCAGAAAGTCGCTCTTAAACAAGCATGAAGTTAACGTTTTTGTTTTTGTGTAGGGAGAGAATTGTATTTTGTTTTGCCTTCCCTGCAAACTGATCGTTAATTAAACTCAGTCCATACCAGGTGTGAATGAAATGTTTTAAAAAACGTTAAGAGCACGATATGTATGATCATATTTATGTATATATCATTTGATATCTATACAGGCATCACTGGAGATTTTTTTTCTGATTCCCTATGGCACTGCGAAAAGCCATCTTTATCTTCCTACACAAGTTGGGTAAAGCAGTTAGTTTGCCTTAAGTTTAACTGAGAACGGTGGAAGATTTTGTAAACAATTTGTGATAATCGTCTTAAATTGCATTAGCGGTTGTTATTTGTTTTTGTCAGTCTGAAAATTGCTGTTTTTTGTCTGTTTAAGGTGGTTCGACTTGTTTTTTTTTTTAGGAATTCATTCGATTCATGAATCGCTTCCTGAGCGATGTGAAGTTTAAGTTAAAATCTTTGTTATTGAAGCTCATCGATAAAAGATTCTTAAATTAAAACCACAAAAAATTAAGAAGGCCAAGGGATGGATTAAATGGCAGCTGGAAATTGGTTAAAAATTTTAACTGACAGATGAGAAATAACAAGAAGTATTGAATGACGCTGAATAGATAGATCTGTATAATTTTTCAGATCATACAAAAGCCGAATTCAATAATTGCTTTTTTATTCCTTCCAAAATATTCATATCTAAACTACCTATGCTTACCTCGAACGATACCATAAAGTTTTGTCTGTTCCGGTGGTAATGAATACATGGGTGATTTAAGGGATGTGTAGTCCATCAGATATTGTTCAAAAAGTAGTTATCTCATCCGTGGTGTTTTATAGTCTTGAGCAGTAATTAGTACTCCTGGCTATTTCATTTTCTTCGCGAAACGTGCCAGGAGTTTTCCGTCATTTTTTTAATTTCCCTAATGGTGTAAATTATCTGATATGCAAAAAATTGTTCTCTTCACTGGTCAAGAGATGGAGAGAATCAACATAACATCGTCAGAAAGTCTAAAGTATAAAATAACTAGCAGTCTTTAATTTATCAAGGAGAAACGAAAAATGTGTGTTTTTTTTTATTACAGCCATCAAAATTTGGCATAGTCTTATTCGCCCACTCAAACGAACGAAAAGATTTTTCTGTAGGTTCTTTAAAATTTGTTATAAAAGAACTCAGTGTGACAGGCAAAGCCCCTGCCGAAGGTGCTGTCAGATGGGATATGATGTGCCGCTTTATAGGGTATAGTTCTCAAGCAGTTAATTAAGAATGGGTTTGGGTATAGAAATCAGAGAGCAATTCTTGGATAGGGAGGGGTTTGGGACGTTTAGTTTGATAGGGTACCAAAATTCAGCTGAACCAGAAGTATAGGCTAGGTGGTCCAGTGTCCCAGCGGCACATTGCCACCCGAAAATTTCTAAAGAATCCCCCCTCCCCGCCCCTGGGGAAAGAACTTCCTTTAACTGTTAAGATTGAGAACTGCATGGTTTTGGATTCTTGGCTTCTTGGTTTCTTTCATTTCTAACCATCACTGGAAATAGATTTACAATCTTCCACGTTTGCAGCAAACGAAATCTTGGCACTACTTGCCGTGGCGGATTTCAGTGTTGGTTTGAGCGTTATTCCTTCGCTGTTCTGCTGCGATATTACAAACACCTGCGACTGGCCTCAACATAGCCTCTCGTGGGTGAATTTTACAGGATGGTTGTTTTAGTAACACGTCTGTTGAAACTTATGCGGCTTCACTATTGGATCGTTTTATTGCCATCGTCCATCCTCTAAAATACACTGCTTTCATGACTCGCGTCGAATTACCCAAGTTTTTTCCTTCTCTTGGTTTCTAACAGTTAGTTATAATGTGCTAAAAGTTACCCTTTAAATGATTTATTTCTAAACAATAGATATTCCAGTAAACAAAGGCACCAACTCGAGGCTCTGGAGGACAAAATACAGTGATTTGTATGAAACTGTCCACACTGTAATTTTCAGGGAGTTATAATAACTCCTCTAGTGGGGCTAATTTAACTCCTTACAGTGGAGTTATTTTTCGTGGAGTTATTTTAACTCCAAAAAGGAGTTTAAAGAACTCTTTTTCAGGAGTAAAAGTAACCCCAGATATTGAGGAGTTAAAATAACCCCAAAAAAGGAGTTATCCTGTACCTAAAATTTTTACTCCACTTTCAGAGTTAAATTAACTCCAAAAAGAGTAAAAACAACCCCTGTAAGGAGTACAAGTAACCCCATTTCGGAGTAATTTTAACTCCAAGACTGGGAGTAAAAAGAACTCTTTTTCAGGAGTAAAAATGACCCCAAATTCGGAGTTAACACATTTTGTACCTATTTTATTGTCAAACATACGAAGAAACGTTGTAAGGTCAGCATTTAATACACAGACCAAGGCAAATTATTATGAGATTAATTGGCCAATTATTACATATATACTTAAGACGATTAAAGGAACAAAGAGTGCGTTACTTTTCACCCAAGTGGCCAGCAACTGTGCAAATTTATTGGAACAAAAGAGAACGTTTTAGTTAGACAAGAGTTCAACTCTCACAGGGTTGGTTGGAATACCACCATGGCCGCCGTTTCTATTTTTTTGAAACACCATTATGGCCGCCATGACGTCATGTGAAAACGCTCCGTTACGTGACCCTAATATTTAAGCAAGATGTTGGTTATATTCTACAGTTGATAAAAACTTCCTTTAACTTCTAAGATGGAGACCTGGTTTTGGATTTTTGGCTGGTTTCTTTCATTTTTAACCATCATTGGAAATGGATTTACAATCTTTATTATATACATACTGAGAAATACTCACCAAAAAGCTATGTCGTAAATTTTCGTACGCAAATTAGTTATAGCCAATCAGAGGAGCGAACGATGGTTTTCACACGTGAAAAAAACGATACGTCCAATCAGAATCGCGAACGATGTTTTTTCACGTGTGAGAAAAATGATACGTCCAATCAGAAGCCACAGAGGTGTGCGAGTTTCGCGCCAAAATTCCCGCCTTTTATTGCAGCTTGCAGCGCCGCTTCGCACACATTTATCAACGAGAAAAGTTTTACTCAAGGAGTTTTTCTCGCTAAAAAAGTGAAAAACATTTCGGAAATGGAGTGGAATAGTTTCGTTTGTTTCACTGTCGATAAAAAAATACGGTAGAGAGCCGGCGAAACAACAGCGGAAAGGGATAAACAGAACGAGACGTAAGCTTTTGTTGTGCTTTTTGTCGGAGCTACTTTGCCTTTCATTTAAGCTTAAGCTTATATTGAAACCGGCCATTTTACTTAAATTCACTCATTTTCAATTGTGCATTGAGAACAAACAGTTAAGATTACTTATAGTTCTTGGGTTAAACCTCATATCCTCACCGTCATTTATGTTTTTAACAAACGTTTTTACTAAAAAGCTGATACTTCGTTTTCGTTGTCATTTTGCGGTAAGTGTGTAGCGGCAAATTTTAGCATTTTTGAAAGATTTAAAATAAAAAGGCCCGCAAAATGATGAATGACTCAGTATGTATATAATAAACACAATACCACATGGAAAGTGCTTTGTACGGTATTTACGCACTCGTTGTTTTTGTATCAGAAATCTTACTCGTTCGCTGCGCTCACTCGTTCGATTTCTGATACGTCAACAACTCGTGCGTAAATACCGTACGCCAGCACTTTCCATGAAGTATTCTTTATTTCTCGTTTGCAGCAGACGAAATCTCCGCACCAAAACAAACGCGTTTATTGTTTCACTTGCCGTGGCGGATTTCTGTGTTGGTTTGGGCGTTATTCCTTCAATGTTCTTGTGCGACATTACAAACACCTGCCACTGGCCTCACGGTTTGATGTCTTGGGTGACTTTCGTACGGTTGCTGTTTAGTAACACGTCTGTTGTAAACTTATGCAGCTTAGTACTGGATCGTTTTATTGCCATCGTCCATCCTCTAAAATACATCACTTTGATGACTCGCCGTCGAATTACTCAAGTTATTTTCTTCTCTTGGGGTCTAACAGTTAGTTTTAATGCGCTAAAAGTTATCTATTATGTGTTTTATTTCAAAACAATGGATGTCCTGTTTATATGGCTAAATCTAATTTGCTTCGAGTTCCTTCCAACTGTTGTATTAATACTTTGCTTTGTATCAATGATATTTCACGTACGCAGGCATGATCGGTCAGCACGCATCGTAGAAAAACAGTTACGTTTTAACCATCAGGTGTCGTTTAAGACCCATTACGAGAAGTCTGCAGTAATAATGATGGGTCTTGTGATAGGAGTGTTTCTTGTTTGCTATGGTATGTATCTACGTTGTAGTTTTCTAATACTATCCTCGTCGCGATGTAATGATGAAAACTACAAAATTCTTTTCTTGGTTTTAAACTCGGCCATTAACCCGCTGGCTTATGCCTTTTTCAAAAGAGACATAAAGAAAGAGTTTCAAAGGCTTGTCGGCGCTGTGTTTTGAAGAAAATAACAATGTTAACTAAAGCCTACCGCTTTACGTGCGTCACTCATTCTTGTAGGATGTGAGTCTTTTTTGCACGTGTGTCAAAGGCTTGAGCTATTTAGTATAAGACTGATAAATGTGTGAGGCTTGGACTTATCATTAGGAGAGAAAACAAGAACCTTTGAACCCTATGAGAATACAAAATACAAGATCAAGGTTCACTGTAATGTAAGGCGCAAGTCAATTCTTGTGGATGGAACTTTTTAGTTTCAAATCATGACATAAAGTATAATTTTATGTTGACACCCTGCTAGCAAAGCCCGCTTTGGTTCACTTGCGCGATTTTAGCGTACTCGAGCAAGACTTTGCATCAATCGAGTAAGGTCTTTGTTGAGCATGTGGTTCTTGTATACAGTTTTGAACCCAGGCTTAATAGCCGTTCGCTTTGTACAGTCTGACCATCGGTTTATCAATCTGAAACGTATGCTCGCACTCTGAATACCAGTTTGACGAGAGAAAACAAGATTGTCAAGTTCAGAAGTACGAGGTTCGTGACTTCAAACGCTTGGCGCCAATTTGGCCGTTCCTTCAATAGCCGTCGTAATCAACTCTGTTAACGGCGATACATTGCTAGAATTTACTGAACCGAACTGTACGATTTTCTCGTTATATGAGTTTATTTCCTTGTGAGAAAAACACAAAGATTGTAGTCAACTAACTGGTAGTTTTGTAATCTTTCCGTGCAAGTTTATTTCAACTCAGTCACCTGCAGGTGTGACTGAAATGATAAAAATCGTCTAAAGTGTAAAATGACTTATTATGGAAAAAGGAAGGTAGCTATCCGGCAAACTTATCACCTTTTTTGCCATGGTTACACGAACGTAAGGCTAAGTTTCCTTTAAATTCTGTAGAAATGATCGTGACTAAGAAATTAAGGTAACGATGCATGGTTGGTTGGTCAGGAAGCCCAGCCGCAAATGGGAAGACGAGTTGCTCGTAGCCGGAACGATATTAAAAACGTTGCATGCTGAATGCACCACAAAACCTTCCAAAATTTAGCGATACGAAATAAAAAATGCAAAAGAAGTCATTTAACTGATTCAACTAAACAATATTGTTAATTGATTGATAAGCTATTGATAACAAATGTTAAAGATCATACATATCGACATGACACTCCAGGCGTCTTGCGCAATGTAATATTGAAAGGATTATAAAATAACAAGGTTTTATAAATAAATATAATGGTTTCTTAAGACAAAACGTTTTTGGCAGGGTGGTTTTTTTTTCTTTCACAGTTGATGACAACTGCCTTTAAAAACTTATCGACATTGTGTTTTTATAGACAGAGCGCCGATTAAAGGCTTCCACCAACATCATTGACTTTTCACGAATGAAAGGTCTTTATGTAAATTGTCTTAGAATAACGAATAATAACCGGACTGTGAGAATCAAGCTAAAGGTTTACAACGGTCCGGAGACGAGACGAAATTTCTTCGAGAAATTTCGTCTCGTCTCCTGAAGAAAGAGTCTTTTGTTGGAACATTTCTATTTCACATCGTGATCATTTTATTTTTTCCTTGCTTTATTCATTAATACCTTTGCATGCTCTATTCAGTAGTTGGAGCTTTTTTTTTTTTTTTTTTTTTTTTACCTATTTTCGTTTACATGAAATATTTTATACTAAACTCTTTATTGTTAAACACATAAAGAGTTTGCCCATTAATGTTAGGTGAGTAGCCTACGTAGCAAGCGTTTCCGTTTGTTTCGGAGCAAATAGAGACCGAGGAACGGGATTCTCGTTGCTCGTTCTTTGTTCCGAAACCGTACGGAAACGCTTGTTACGCAGGCTATCAGGTGAGCATAGTCTGCGACAACACTTTTGACTGAAAATTTAAAGACCTAGAACGAATGCATTATACGCATGGTAACCTACAATAATGCAGACAAAGCATTTTCATTTTTCATGACTTCGAAAGCCATTTCTTCCTCAGCTTTTCAAGCGAAACAGACTACTAGGCAGATTACATGCTGCGGGCTCATATATGTCTTGTTTAATTGATATGTAATATTATTTTCTCGCTTCTTATTGGTTAATGACAATGGCGGAAACTTATTCAGGCAAATTTAGTACACCTTCGGAGACCCAGGGGCAGTCAGTCGGGTTGGGAGAAAAGGCGGGACGAAGTTTTCAATTACGGGCAAAAGAGCCCCTGGGTACCTATTCAATTCTCACCGAACTATTTCCAAAAATTCAAGCGGATGCCGTCTCCTGATTGGGCACAAAAAATGCTTTGTATTATTGTGCCAAATCTACCAACAGTTTCTTCTGAGTTCTTTTCGTGAGTTCGTACACGACGGCTATTTGTCCGGTTCTTTCACCAAGGTTGTGCTTGCAAGGGAAACTTTTATTTTCTACTTTCCTAACCACAAACGAAAGAACTACCGGCTCTTTTGCCCGTACTTAAAAACTTTCGTCCCGCCTTTTCACCCGACCCGACTGACTGCCTCTGGGTCTCCGAGGATGTGTAAACTTGAGCCTTGCCAAAAACAATAGGAATTGACAGGCTACTTAATTTTAATGACCACAAATATTCCATGAATGCCCCGTTCAACGGCGCTTTCGCATCAAAATGGGTTCTCTAGCTTGTTATGTATCGGTCCAATCGAAGCCTCAACACCCCCCCGGGCAAACCCCCCAGGCATTTGACTTTTTTGAAAATTATTGTTAAATGCCGTTCAAATGCGCCACACAAGGGTCCATTCAGGTGATCAAATGCCCCCACGACGGGGACATTTCACAGGCACATAAATAATAGAAGGACAGCAGAAATGCCTTCAGTTGTCGAACAAAATCTTTATAAATACAGCAAATAATTGGAATTTAATATAACAAGAACTGAGAAACACCGTTAGCGTATTTACTACAAACAAAATTCTCGTGCAAAACGGCGGAAATCGCTGCTACAAGGTCACTGAATGCTCAGCTTTTGTTCGTGTGTCCTGCAACATAGAAAACGTTCTATAAAAAAAATCCTACCTACTACATCATGACCATTCATCGCTCACCTTATACATGCGGCAGGTCAAAGCTAGGTCAAAGCATGACAGGCCAGAGCCCCGATTTTAGTGCGCGCAGGAAGAGGCCTAATCTCCACAGCAACCACCGCAGAGGCGGTTTCCAATAACAGACAAGCGTTACTTTCGTAATTAGTTTTAAGCATTCCTCCAGAAACCTTTGGAGAGCGCCGGACACATTGCCTGTCAGGGAACTTTGTACTTCTGATTAAATGAACCAGACATCTCAAGGAAACGCGAAATTTGATCAGACTATTTGGGATTATAAATTCATTTCACGGTCGAAGTCGATCTTCGCGGCTGGCTTCGCAATTGATAACTACAGTTTTCTCGCCGCATTTGGATTCAAATAGGCTTGATAAGCTTTCAGTGGCTTTTCAAGTGCTTTCTTTTAAGAAAATAGTGCTCCGATGGCTTATTTAACTTCTTTCAAGAGTAGTATGCCGTGTCAACATTGGTGACCTTCGAAGCGAAAACGGCGAGTCGGCGTATCAAGTTTTTACTGTGGAGCCACAAGTAGGAATACACTCTCTGCTGGCACATCTTTCTCCGGTTTGGAAGGAACTCTGCGTGGAAAAGACCCTGACCAAAGAAATTTTTAAATCTTCTCTATTTGAACGTTTGAGAAAAGCCGTCAACAATGCACATTTTATAGTCGCCGGTGTAAACGAATGCGAGAGCTCGAGCTCTACTTCACATCTCCTTGAGGAACAGAACAGCAAGACCGATTATCTGATTAAATGGACGACCTTTTTTATCAAACGGCGAAGGATTCAAGTCTTTTTTCTCTGGCTTAAGACGATGTAAGCGTCCATGTACCTCCAGTGACAAATCACTCTCCAAAAAGCCCGCCAAGCACTGTCGAAATCCCGCCAAAATCCAAAATCTTATTCGCTGGCAGGAGCCCAAGACGCTGGGATTACTCCAGATATTCTAGCTTCCACTTCAACATCTTCGTGTTCGCTTGGGCGATCTGTATAATCAACGTCACAGATACAGTATGGTTTCTATATCAGTCATTTTAGCCTCCTTCAAATGTCAATCACTATCCAAAAATAATTATTACAGGTTACCTTTGTATTGTTACTTGTTTTTTACTTAATAGGCCAAATTATAGGGCTACCCTCTCCCTCAGAGCTTACAGGCGGCGCGCCCAAGATTCTGAGGTGAAGGTAGTCTCTCTTTTGAAATGTCGGTCATTATCCAAATAATTTTTGTAGGTCATCTTTGTAGTGTCATTTGTTTCGAAATAGGCCAAATTATAGGGCTACCCTCTCCCTCAGAGCTTACAGGCGGCGCGCCCAAGATTCCGAGGTGATGGTAGTCTCTCTTTTAAAATGTCGGTCATTTATCCAAATTATTATTGAAGGTAATTTTTGTACTGTCATTTGTTTCGAAATAGGCCAAATTAATTATGGGGCTACTCTCTCCCTCAGAGCTTACAGGCGGCGCGCCCAAGTTTCTGAGGTGATGGTAGTCTCTCTTTTAAAATGTTGATAATTTATCCAAATTATTATTGTAGGTGATTTTTGTATTGTAATTTGTTTCTGAAATAGGCCAAATTATGGGGCTTCCCTCTCCCTCAGAGCTTACAGGCGGCGCGCCCAAGATTCTGAGGTGATGGTAGTCTCTCTTTTAAAATGTTGATAATTTATCCAAATTATTATTGTAGGTGATTTTTGTATTGTAATTTATTTCTGAAATAGGCCAAATTATGGGGCTTCCCTCTCCCTCAGAGCTTACAGGCGGCGCGCCCAAGATTCTGAGGTGATGGTAGTCTCTCTTTTGAAATGTCGGTCATTATCCAAATTATTATTGTAGGTCATCTTTGTACTGTCATTTGTTTTGAAATAGGCCAAATTATGGGGCTACCCTCTCCCTCAAAGCTTACAGACGGCGCGCCCAAG